GCACATCAGCAGCCAGCGGCCAACTGTCAGCCGTTCAGAGAGCCTTGCTGAGCCAGCCCCAACATGCTTGAGCCAGCCCGCACTTGCATACATCAGCGTTTCTGCAGCAGAGACAGCATCTGCCTGTCCCCGGGTTGTATACCAGACCCGTTACCCCACTCCCAACCCTCTCGCTGACGTTGCTTGACTCCCATCCCATCTGCAGTAGCTCTACCGTGACAACAGTTAAGGTGATCCCCCCCCCCCCCCCCCCGGCCGGCCCGCTCAGCGCAGCGTGCCCCACGGCGTGCCCCGCTGCGTGCCCCGCAGCGCCCGCCCACCCACCCGCCAGCACTGTGTGCAGGTTGTCCAACACTTCGGGCCGATCCAGCCACACATCGGACAGCAGCACGATGCGGTCGTCGGCGTGCCGCGCCTCCCAGGACAGCAGCTGGCGCTCGTCTGGCACCTGGCCGCCGAAGAAGTCGAGGCCCTGCAGCGCCTGCAGGCTCTCGGCGCGCCGCTCGGGGGGCGGCATGCCCAGCGCCGCCACCTGGACACGCAGCGGCGGGGGCGGGCGGGCAGCCAGGCAGCCAGGCATCAAGCACCTGCCCAGCAACGCGGCACGCTGGCGCGGCCGCCCCGGCGCGCAGCGGCGGCAAGCCTGCGCCGCCAGCCAGCGGTGCGCCATCCAACAGCCAGGCATCCAGGCGGCGCGCGCACCTTGAACACGCCGTCTGCCTGCAGCTCCCCCTCCGCCACAACGATGCAGTTCTGCGTGAACATGCCCAGCGTCTGCTCCGCCTCAGTCAGGTCCACAGGCAGGCGGGCAGACAGGTCCTCTATCGCGTACCGCCCCTCCTCCGGCTGCGGTACAGGCACAGGGGCAGGCGCGGGGGCAGGGGCGGGGGGTGGGGTGGGCGGGCGTGTGGTGTGTGGCACGGCAGCGCGGAGCACTAGGCCAGCTGAGCCCAGTCGCAGCCAGCTTCCAGTGACAGATGGGCAGGAGGGCGCAGCAATGCGCTGCCCGTGCGTCAATGCATGCCAGCGTCAAGGCCGCACATGCGCTGCACATGCGGTGTGTGCCGCCGATCCAGGCCCCACACCCACCCACCTGCGTGAGGAAGCCCATCACACACCGCTGCTCCCCTACAACCCCCAGCATCGCCTTGAGCTCCGTCAGCTCGCAGTCAGACTGGCCTCCGCCGCCGCCCAGCCCAGCAAACTGCAGCAGAGGGGCAGCGATGGGGCAGGGCAGCACACGCTGAGCCGGCAGCTGTGTCGGCCGCCGCTGTGCAGCACGCACCTGCTGGGATGCAGGTGTGCAAGCATGCAGAGCCAGACGCTGCTGGTTTGGGGCACTGTGGCGAGGCCGCAGCGCGGCTGGCACAGGCGTGGGATGCGCGGGCGGGCGCACACCGCACCTTTGCTGCGCGGAAGAGCTTGTTGCGTTTGAGGCGCTGGTGCACCAGGTGGAAGCGGTTCACATACAGCTGCACCTTGCTCTGCACGGCAGCGGCAGGGGTGGGGCAGCAGGCGGGCAGACAGAGGTAGGCAGGTGGGCGAGGTGGGCGAGGGCCGAGCAGCACAGGTGGCAGCGGCGCAGCAGCAGAGCAGTGGCAGTCCTGCCGGGCCTCGCCTTGGCGTCTGCCTGCAGCTTGGGCTGCACCGCGGAGCGGTGGAAGAGCTTGCGCACGGGGTCGTACACGACGTGCGGCACCCTGAACGCGTCCACCACCTGCACCGCATCCGGCGCCTGGCTGCGCCCCTCCAGCGCCGACAGCACCTGCTCCAGCAGCGCAGGCGTCACGCGCCGTTCATCGGTGACTGCAGAAGCGGGGGCGCGCGCAGGCTGGAGACAGGCATGGCGAGACTGACACAGAAGAAGGTAACGCACTGGCCCTGACATGGCTGCCTGTGCAAAGGCCCGCCGCTCAGCTGCCGCCGCCTGTCGGGCACTGGCGCCAGCCAGCTCGCCTGTCTCGATCTCGTCTATCAGGCTGTGCACAAACTCCTGCGGGTCGGGCACGTCCTGCACCGCCTGCACCAGCTTCTCCAGCGACTTGGGGTCCAGCGTCACGCCGCTGGTCTTGAACTGCGTCTGCAGCCACCTCTTGGTGGCCCGCAGCTGTTCATCCATGGCGTCCCCGTGCGCAACGCTATGCCGTGCCGCTCAGCACTCCATAGCGCGGTCAGGGCTCTCCCGCTGCCTCCCTGGATTGCCAACCTGTGTCGATCAATCTTTGCAACACGTTGCTACGTCGAGCCAGGCGAATCGCTGCGGTTTCTTTGAACATTGCTGCTGAGCTGGCGTTCCGCTCCTGCAGGCTGGAGGCCATTTGCATTAACTCATGTACCGTCTTACCCCCTCGTCTTGCTGCAAGGCATGTGGGGCATCGTTAGAGGCTCGCAGTTGCATTGCCCCCACCTGGCCAGACGCAGCGGTCTCCTGATGTGCTCCAAACGCAAGCTGTGCATCGATGTGGATGTCGGTGTGGACGACGCACAGGTTGGCAATGCCGCCTGCCGCCGCTTGCCGCCTGCCGCCACTGTCGCCTGCTGCCGCTGCCGCTGCTTCCTGCCACAACGGTCAAGCTTGCTCCCACTGCAGGGCCTCATGCTAGTGCTGGCGCACCCGGACGCCCACATTGTGGGCATCTCCGCGGTGCACGGCAATGTGGATGTGGCGAGGGTGGGCCGCAACATAGCGCGTGTGCTGACGCTGTGCGGCCGAACGGAGCTGCCCTTCTACCTGGGTGCCGATGAGCCGCTGGTGCCACCTGCAGCCGCCGTGGATGATGCCAGCTTTGTGAGTGGCAGAAGCGTTTGTGGCAAGGGTGAGCAGCCTGGAGTGCGTTCAGGCCACCACCACCATCAGCACTGCCACTCTTGCCAGGTGGCCATGCGTGCCTGCGTGCCGCCTGCCAGCAGGACGTTGACCAGTGCATTGGCGGGCGCCCCTGCTGCAGTTCCACGGCAAGGATGGGCTGGGGGACGTGCCTGAGGCCGTCCCCGCCTCCTCACACATAGAGCTGCAGGCCCAGCCGGGCCACGGCGCGTTGCAACTGGCTCGGGCCGCTCAGGTCGGGGGGGTGGCTGGGGGAGCAGCTGCTGCATGCACAGGTCTGCTGCCTGGTGCATCGTGGCTCGCTCTCCTCCGCCGCCTGTGCATGCTCGCGTGCCTGCGGCCATGGATGGGCTGCTGCCCATGCCTGCTCCGCTGCACCCTGCCGCGCAGGAGCACGAGGGCGAGCTGACTGTGGTGGCCACAGGCCCGCTCACAAACGTCGCGCTGGCCTGCAAGATGGATGCGCAATTCCCTCACAGAGGTGCCCTGCCTGCCTGCCTGCCTTCCCACCGCTCCTGTCCCTGCTTGTGCTAGGTGTTGCCCCTAGCAGGCGACCGACGCCCTGCCACCCGGTGCCTTGCAGTGGGGCGGCTGGTGGTGATGGGAGGGGCCGAGGGGGCGGGCAACGTGACACCGTGCGCCGAGTATAACTTCCACTGCGATGCCGAGAGCGCCCATCTGGTCATGTGCAAGTTCCCGCAGCTGGTGCTGGTCAGCTGGAACGCCACGGTGCGGCACGCGCTGCCCTGGTGCTGGGTGGACGCCTGGCTGGGCAAGCCCACGCGCAAGGCGGCCTTCATGCGAGCCATCATGGCTGCCAGCATGGCCCTGGAGAAGGAGAGAGACGCCGGTAGGCTGCAGCAGCCAGCCGCCGGTGCACGGGGTCGCCTCAAGCGCTGTGGTGTGAGGCGACAGCAGGGACGCCCTCTAATTCTGAGCACCTTGGCCGTCTGGCTGCCTGCCGCAGATGCGGGGTGGATTGCGTGCGACCCGCTGGCGTTTGCGCTGGCGGTGTGCGATGAGGCTCTGCTGGCGGCTGAGCCCAAGCACTGCGTGGTGGAGCTGCAGGTGTGGGTGGGTGGGGCTGCTGGGACGAGGTTCCGCGCTCGTGCCGCACCGATCGCTGCTGTGCCTGCTGTGCCCGCAGGGCTCCCTCACCCGCGGCATGAGCGTGTTCCAGGAGCCGGGGGGCGAGGCGGCGCTGCCTGCCAACGTGCTGCTGGTCACCGACATCTGCATGCAGCGCTTCCAGGCGCTCATGGATGCAGCCACCGACTGAGCGCGGCAGCAGTACAGCAGAAGTCTCTCTTGTACCATCACAGTGCACTCGGCATCCAGCATTGCACATTTCTGTGTCTTTTTATATTTTATTGCACTGAAATTGCAGCAGCGAGGCAGCATTGCTCAAGGCTATGAGATATGGGCAATTTGCAGTTCTGAAGCGGTGTACAAGTATATGTATGCGAGGGCTGGAAACAAGCAGCAGGCACCGGCACAGCGCCGCCGCGCCTCAGTGCGGCCTGTAGGGGCTGTCCAGCAGCTTGGCCAGCGGCAGGAAGAGGGGCTGGCAGGCGTGCGCCAGTGAGGCGTACTCCACCCAGGCCCACCCCTCGCACTTGTGGGGCTCCAGGTTGCGCGGCTGCGCGCCGGCGGGCACCTCGGCCCGGCAGAAGACGGTGACATAGTGCTTGCCGCTGGCCGGGAACACGGCGTTGATGGCATAGGCAAAGGTGGGGGACGCCAGCTGCAGGCCTGCCTCCTCCAGCACCTGCCAGGGGAGAGGGTCGAGCGGCGGATGCGATGCGCATGAGCCAGCCTGGGTGCTGCCTGGTTGAGCGGCTGCAAGGGAGGGTGGCCAGACACGTGTAAGAGGCTGGCAGGGCCGCTCGTGCGCTCTCACCTCCCGCGCGGCACACTCCTCAAAGCTCTCCCCATACTCCAGGTGGCCACCAGGCAGCGCATACTCGCCGCCGCCGTGCGGGCCCTTCCTGCAGGGCAATTGAGCAACCCAAGATGAAACTAAGTTTCTCCCATAACAAAAACGACAGCAGGCAGCTCCCAAACTCCGCAAGCCCCAACCTCCGCACCTCTTCCCCACTAAACATTTTGTGGTGCCCTCTTGGAAGATGAGGACGCCCACGCCCACCAGCGGCCTCTGGTCCTGCGCCATGGCCGATGCCCCCCGCTGCCCTGCGCTGCGGCGCCCTAGCTGGCGACGGGGCGCGAGGCGCTGCCCGTGAAGCCTGGTTGCCGGCTGCAGCCGCGGCTGCGTGCCACGTTCTCAATGGTCCAGCAGACAGGCTCCCAGCAGCCACACTTCCAGCCGTGCCTGCGGCCAAGTGTTGTTGCCACCACCGCCGACGCTGCTGCCGCCGCCGCCCAGACCCAGCTCTGGCTAGCTGCTTGGCCAACTCCCTGCATGCACACGATTCACGATCATCGAGCCAGCGATAGTGAGAGACCGGCCACAGAGCAGCAGCAGAGCATGGGGAGTAGCGGCACCCCGGCCAGGCTCGCCTGCCTAACTGGGTTGGTGGTGTGCTGGTGGTGCTTCAGGCAATGCAGAAGTGCCCATTCTTTAAGCCTCATGCAGCTGCTCCGAGTGCTGAGCCGACACGTCTCCTGAGCTGAGCCAACCCGGCCTTCGACACACTCATTTCCGTCCCTGCTTCTGGCCAACCTCCAGGGGCCTTGCAGCCGCGAAGCGCGGCTGTCATCAGCAACTCCGACACACATAATCGAGATGGGCTCCTCAGAGCGGCGTGTGGCAGCCCTGCTTGCTCACCTGGCCGTCCAGGAGCAGGATGAGGAGCAGCTGGAGCGCAACCCCACCAGCGCCGCCGCCCCCTGCCCCAAGGTGCGCCGCCTTGCCGCCGCTCCCGCCGCTGCGCCCCCTGGGCCCTGCTGCCGACGACCCTCCTGCCTGCCAGCCGCCCCGAATCGCCGCCATCGCTGCTGCCCCTCAGCCATCTTTGTTCTCCGTTTCGTCACCCAATCCTCCCCCTTCCGCTGCGTCTCGCCGGCAGGCGATGGCCGACTTTTTGACGCGCGACAACAAGGAGCTGCGCGCCGCCATCTTTGACTTCCTGCGGGACCCGCTGTATGCGCCCAACTACCACCTCTCCATGGCCGGCTTCCGGGAGCTGACCAGCCAGCGCATGGCCAAGTTTGTGGGGCAGCGCTTCTTCTCTGTCTTTGACTACACCCGCGACCCGCTCAAGTTCCAGGCCGCCCTGGAGTGCCTCAACTTCTGCGACTACAGGTGGGGGCGGCGGGGGGTGGTGGGGTGGGGGGATGGGGGGGTGGCGGTTGGTGGTGCGTGGTTGTGTTGGTGCTCGCGCTGGTGCTGGGGATCAAAGTCGCTTGCGAGGAGGCGGGAGTGCACTGCCGCGTTTCGTGTCGTGGTGTTTTTGCCGTGCTGGTGTGCAGGGCGCCTGTGCTCAGGCTGCCCGCCCTGCCGCCGCCGCCGCTGCCTGCCCTGCCCGCAGCCTGGCCATCAAGGACGGCGTGCACTTCACGCTGTGCGGAGGCACCATCGCCAAGCTGGGCACCGAGAAGCACCACCCGTGAGTCGCGCTCCTGGGGGGCTCTGGGGGCTGGGCGGCACTCCGACTCGATCCGCGCTTTCGAGTGCTGGCGCTGGGCAGGAGCATTGCTGGGTGGCCGAGCGGCGGCTCGCCTCGCACCTGAGTGTATGGCCTGAATAGCAACACAAGCGCCTACAAAGCAACACAACACGCCCTGCCTGCAGCATCCTGCGCAAGATGGACACGCTGGAGCTGCCCGGCTGCTTTGCCATGACGGTGGGGCAGCCGCCCAGGCACCCGCCCGCCGCCCGCTGCCCAGCCTGGCACTGGCCGCTTGCGCTGCGCCGCTCGCTGGCGTGGGCGCGGAGCGGCGCAGGGGGCCACGAGCCTGCCGAGCCTCGTCTCGCCATGCCCACCATGGTTCCCCTTCTGCCCGCCGCAGGAGCTGGGCCACGGGTCGAATGTGATGGGCATCGAGACGACCGCCCAGTACGACCCCGCCACTCGCGAGTTTGTCATCAACACCCCCAACAACGAGGCCAGCAAGTTCTGGATCGGCGGCATGGCGCAGACGGCCAAAGTCAGCGCCGTGTTTGCCCAGGTGGGCTGGCTGCCCAGGCCTTGGCTGGCCTGGTTTGCCCTGCCGCGCATCTCAGCCTCATGGCTGGGGGCATTGGGTGGTGTTCCAGTGGCTATGGGTGAGCCGCGTCCTCACCGCCTGCAGCTCTGCCCCCCGCCTGCCTGCCCGCCCACAGCTGACCGTGAACGGCAAGTGGGAGGGGCCGCACGTGTTTGTGGTGCGCCTGCGCGACGACCACGGCGGCCTGATGCCGGGCGTGCGGGTGGCCGACAACGGGCCCAAGCAGGGGCTGCTGGGCGTGGACAACGGGCAGTGCTGGTTCGATCACGTACGCGTGCCACGCGACGCGCTGCTGGACCGCTTCTCGCAGGTGCGGCGGCATGCTGCGTGCCCTGCCGCCTGGCGCCGGCGCTCATGCCGGCCGGCCGGCAGGCAGGCCCGCGGCCGCGGCAAGCAGGCGGCCGAGTTGGTCCTGTGGGCCTGGCATGGCGTGCCCCCTCGCTTACCTTCAGCAGAGCTGCTCCAGCCGCTGCCCTCCATCATGCTCCGCCCCCATGCCTGCCTGCGTCCCGCAGGTGGACGCCTCTGGGCGCTACCGCTGCTCCATTGACAACGTGGCCCAGCGCTTTGGCACCATGATTGGCGGGCTGACCACCGGCCGCATGCTCATCGCGCAGGTGTGCCCCGCCTGCTCGCCGCCGCTTTGGAGGGGCTTCATCGCATCACCTGATGCTGCAATGCCACCTAGCCCAGCCAGGCGTGCCGGTTGCGAAACGAATGGGAGCTTGGTGCTGCTGTGGCTGAGCACCGCCCGGCTGCGCCGCGCCTGCCGCAGGCCGCCATCGATGCCTGCAAGATTGGCGTGACCGTGGCGACCCGCTACTCGGCGCGGCGCACGCAGGCGAGCTCCCGCCCTGCCGCCCCCAGCTCCTGGCTGGGCCCTGTCAGCCCATCCCTTCCTGCCTGCGTGCCTGCCCACTTGGCACCAGTGCCCCTCTGTACCCGTCCCCTGCAGTTTGGCGACCGCGCCATCCTGGGCTACATCACCCACCAGCGCCGCCTGTTCAGCGGCCTGGCCACCACTTACGCCATGCACCTGGCCATGCTGCACCTCAAGCAGCTGGTCGTGCAGGTGGGTGGCAGGGAGGCGGGGTCGGGGCGGGGCGGGGAAGCGGGATGGGTCGGGGGAGTGGCGCTGCTCACTGCTGCTGTGGCTGGCTGCCGCAGCTCCCAGCCCTGACCTCCACCATGTGCCTGGCTGCCGCCGCCTGCCTGGGTGCGCAGGGCGGTCCCGAGGCGGGCAAGCAGGTGCACGTGGTGTCCAGCGGGCTCAAGGCGGGGTCCACCTGGCACCGCAAGCGCATCCTCAACGACTGCCGCGAGTGCTGCGGCGGCATGGGCTTCATGGCAGCCAACAAGATTGGCCCGATGCTCAACGGTGGGCGCCGGGGCGGTGGCGGTTGTGTGGCGTGTGGATGGGTGCAGGCAGCCAGGCAAGGCAGGGCTGCGTGGGGGTCATGATGGTTTGGGCTAGCTAACTGCACTGGGCCTGGTGCCAGGCCCGGGTGCAGGCCAGGCATGCAGCCCCACGCGCGCTCATGTGCCTGCCAGCCCCTGACCCGTGCTGTTTTGGCTACTGCCTGCGTGGTGGTGCAGACATGGATGTTGACACAACCTTTGAGGGGGACAACACGGTGCTGATGCAGCAGGTGGGTGGCGTCAATGAGCTGCTGTCGGAGTGGGTGGAGACGTTCAACGGCACCCGGCCGCGCTGCTCTTGTCGTCGCCGCAATGCATGCCTGCCGGGCGCTATGCCGACAGCAGCAGCCAGACCCATCTAGCAGCCCATGCCTGCCCACGCGCCCCACCTGGCGCAGGTGGCCAAGCCTCTGCTGGATGCGGCGGGCAAGGCGGGCGCCACGCGGGCGCCGCCACCGCCCGCCGTCAAGCAGCTGGACCTGTGCGCCGCCTGCGTGGGCAAGCTGCTGGCCTGGCGCGAGCAGATGCTGGTGGCGGGGCTGGCGGCGGACGTGGGGGCCGCGGCGGCGCGCGGCGGCGCGCAGGCTGCTGCCGCCGCCTTTGACGACAGCCTCGACCGCGTGGTGAGGAGCGGGGCAGCTCTCTGGCGGGCGGCTGGATGTGGCCCTTCGCCTCCCTGCGCTCCCGGCTTGCATCGCCGTGACCGCCTGCAGCCAGCAAGCCGGCCAATTCACTTGCACCGCCCTGCCTGCCGCCCTGTGTCGTGCCCGCAGACCACGCTGGGCTGGGCCTGGACCGACCGCTACTCGTTCGACGCCTTTGCCCGGGAGGCGGCCTCGGCGCCGGCCGCGCTGCGGGAGCCCCTCAGCCTGCTGTGCCTGCTGTACGGCCTGTGCCGCCTGGAGGCCGGAGTGGAATGCTACCTGTCGGCAGGTGTGCGACGGTAGCGGTGGTGTGCCTGCCTGGCGCCCGTCTCCACCGGTTGCCTGGGCCATGCTTTGCTCCCACACCCGCCTGCCATGCCCCATCTTGGCTTCGTGCCCCCGTGCTGCCTGTACCTGCAGGCGCGCTGTCGCCTGAGGCGGTGAAGGCGCTGCACGCGCGGGTGAATGTGGTGTGCAGGCAGCTGGGCGCGGAGGGCGGGCGCCTGGCGCTGGCGCTGTGCGACGGGTTTGGCATCCCCGACCACCTGTTGCAGGTACCCTGCCTGCTGCACCTGCTGTGGTCTGCTGTTGATGCGCCTGCTGTGTTAAACCGCGCCCCTTGTTTGCTGCTGCTGCTCCTTTTGCTTGGTGTATTGATTGGGGGGTGCCGCTCTCTCTTGGTGCAGGCACCCATCGCAATTGGAGACTGGCGCTCGTTCCAGGGCTGACAGCGAGGGGTCCGTCCTCAGCCAGAAAGAACGCTTAGGAGAGACAACCAAGAGCGCACCAATTTTGATTTAGCATTGGAGTAGTAGCCTTTTAGTGTCTATTAGCGCGGAATAGTGCCCCAATTGCAAGTCCAGACGCGCAGCCGCATGCTGGCGTGGTTGTGTCGACCGAGAATTCCCCCAACCTTACTTGGTAGAAGAACAAATAGATAGAGAGATGGAATTCAAAAGGGCGCAGGTTGGGTGTCGACTGCCCTGGTGCAAGTGGACCAGCAGGCAGGCTGGAGCAGAGCAGTACGTGGCGCTCGAGAGCTAGTGCAAGATGGGTGAGAGAAGGGTAACGAATAAAAAAAATGGGTCTCATGCAACAGTGCAGCTCACAAGCAATGCATCAGCTGTCATGGTCGGGGGCGGGGGTGCGGCTTGGTGTTGCACACGCCAGCACGGGCACTACGGCCCGTCAGGTGTGCCGCTGGGGGCCATTGGCATTCATGCCGTGGTTAGGCTCAGTGTGAAGGCGCCAGATTGAGAGGGGCCGCTGCCAGAGACGACAATGAAGTAGAAATCGTCCTTCTTGACCGACACTCTGCAAGGGGAGCAAGCGGCAGAGGCAGGTGGTAAAGGTGGCATGTGGCACAGCTAGCGGCCGATTCAAACACTGGCTATTGACCTTGGCAGCCCAGCCAATATATTGGCTGGGCTGCCTATATAGCGAGAGGCAGGCGGCACAGGAGGCGCAACTCACGTGAGGGGCTCGTCGCACGTGCCGCAGCCAGGCAACTGCACCACGCCGCCGCCGCCAGCAGACTTGGCATCTGTCCGCAGCGCCACCTTGGGGTTGAAGGCTTCAGAGCAGGCGCTCACGGTCATGTTGCCGGTGGCGGGCACAGCGTAGGAGAACCACTGCATGCGGGAGCAGGTGGGGAAGACCAAGGGGCACCATTGCACTCAGTGCAGCATTGGAACAGCAATGTGCCCTGGCTGCAATGCGGCCACATGATGGCACGCGGGAGGTGCACCATCCGCACAAAAGACGCACGCACCACGTCGGGGCCGTCAGCGCCCGCGCTGCAGTTGCTGGTGTAGGAGTCAGGGTAGTCGGAGGAGTCGCCAGAGACAACCTGGGTGGCACTGGAGTCGAGCTCGAGGGCGGCAAACTCGCTCTCGCCAGGCTTGAGGGTCTCCACCAGCAGGCGGAAGGGGCCGTAGTCGCCCACACTCTGGCCAGTGACCAGGATGAACAGCACCTGGCCCTGGGTCACCGGCAGGCTGCAACGCACAGGGTCGACGGAAGGGAAGAGGCTGGTCTGATGCGGGGAGAGTATGCATGTTCACGCCGGACCCGTAGCACGCCAGCCCAGGGGCCTCACATGGTCTGGGATGTGGGGTCAAGCAGATCGGGGTTGTCGGCAGAGCAGCTGTCAAAGTAGCCACAGATCAGGGTGCCGTTGACGATGGGGGTGCCATCCTCCTCCTCGCCGTTGCCCACAACAGTGAGGGTGGCCTGGAAGGCGTCGCTGCAGGCCTGGATGCTGACCACACCGGTGAAGGGCACGGTGTACTTCATGATCTGCAGATGGATACGACGGCAAATTTGGGCAGGGAGGCCGTGCCTGCTGGAGGGCAGACTCCCTCCGCTTCGAAGCAGGAGAAGATCGCAGCTAACAATGACCATGCCAGCAATGCCATGGCAGCACAGGCAGGTGCGTCGCAATACACCATGCACCCACCACGTCGCCGCCGTCGCCATAGGTCTTGTTGTCATAGTACTCGGGGTCGGCGCAGCCTGACAGCAGGATGTCTGGGGAGCCGGCGCTGGTGTAGTTCTGGAGAACCTTGGCAGCAGAGCCCAGGTCGATGGCATTGCTGAACTTGGTGCCAGTCCTGCAGCCAAGGCAGGCGGCACCTATGGCGGCACATAGTAAGTGCTGCAGACGAGCGCGCAAAGGCTCCCGCTGGTGGAACCAGCAGGTCACATCCAACTTGGCTGCTGGAGGGCAGCAGGGAGCCAGCGCGGCTGAGCTGGCGCTCACGTAGCCGCTAGAGCATTGTCGATGGTCAGGGTGAAGGCGCCCTTGTCGGTGGGGCCGGAGCCAGAGACCACGACATAAAAGAAATCATCCTTCTTGACCGACACACTGCAAGGAAAGGCAGGCAGCAGGGAAGGTGTGTGATCCGAAACTGCGCAGGGCATGAGCTGCAGCCAGCCGGGCAGTGCCGCCATGGGCCGTGGCCAGCTGGCGCACGTGTGAATGGCGGAGCAACTCTGCGTATGCTGCTGTGCCAGCAGCTCACGTGAGAGGGGTCTCGCAGGAGCCGCAGCCTGCCAGCTGGGCGATGCCGCCGCCAGACGAGGAGAAGGCGTCAGTACGCAGTACAAAGGTGGGGGTGAAGGTGTCAGAGCAGACCTTGACGTGCAGCAGGCCAGTGACGTTGGCGCTGTAAGAGTACCACTGCATGCGGGAGCAGGAGACCAGGGGGCGCCATCTGCTCAGTAGCAGCATTTATAGCAAGCCAAGCATTTACAGCAAGCCAAGCAAGGACACAGAGGTGCGCAGGTTAACAGCCTGCACACGCTGCTGCTGCGAAGTGCGCAAGCGGCAGCTACGGTCAGGGCGCACGCGAGGAACAGCGCGCACAGCTCAGAAGCAGCAAACGCAACACGGTGCACGCACCACGTCGGGGCCGTCAGCGCCCGCGCTGCAGTTGCTGGTGTAGGAGTCGGGGAGGCTGGAGGAGTCGCCAGAGACAACCTGGGTGGCACTGGAGTCGAGCTCGAGGGCGGCAAACTCGCTCTCGCCAGGCTTAAGGTCTTCCACCAGCAGGCGGAAGGGGCCGTAGTCGCCCACACTCTGGCCAGTGACCAGGATGAACAGCACCTGGCCCTGGGTCACCGGCAGGCTGCAACGCACAGGGTCGACGGAAGGGAAGAGGCTGGTCTGATGCGGGGAAAGTATGCATGTTCACGCCGGACCCGTAGCACGCCAGCCCAGGGGCCTCACATGGTCTGGGATGTGGGGTCAAGCAGATCGGGGTTGTCGGCAGAGCAGCTGTCAAAGTAGCCACAGATCAGGGTGCCGTTGACGATGGGGGTGCCATCCTCCTCCTCGCCGTTGCCCACAACAGTGAGGGTGGCCTGGAAGGCGTCGCTGCAGGCCTGGATGCTGACCACACCGGTGAAGGGCACGGTGTACTTCATGATCTGCAGATGGATACGACGGCAAATTTGGGCAGGGAGGCCGTGCCTGCTGGAGGGCAGACTCCCTCCGCTTCGAAGCAGGAGAAGATCGCAGCTAGCAATGACCATGCCAGCAATGCCATGGCAGCACAGGCAGGTGCGTCGCAATACACCATGCACCCACCACGTCGCCGCCGTCGCCATAGGTCTTGTTGTCATAGTACTCGGGGTCGGCGCAGCCTGACAGCATAGTGTCGGGGTAGGTCAGGCTGCTCAAGCCGTTCCTGACAACCTTTTTGGTGGAGCCCAGGTCGATGGCATTGCTGAACTTGGTGCCAGTCCTGCAGCCAAGCATTGGGACGCGGAGCCGAGTGACCCGGTCTGGATTTCGTGTCTGGCAGCTGCCAGGCGGCAGCAGACCGCATGCCCTGCTGCGCCCAGCTTGAGGGATGGCTTGCCATCTCAAGCTGGCCGGCATGGGCAGGAAAGCAAAATCAGCAGGGACGAGCCCTGTCTGCCTGCCCTGCCTGGTCATGGGGCCAGGGCAGGGGGATGACAGCAGGACAGCAATGCATGGCGACACTAGCTGCTCACGTTGGCAGGCGTGTGTTCTCCACCGTCAGGGTGAAGGCGCCCTTGTCAGTGGGACCAGATCCGGAGACCACAAAGTAGACGAAATCATCCTGCTTGATCGACACACTGCGATGCAGGCAGGCAGCAGGCAGGGCAGGGCGTGAGATATGCTCCTGGCTGGATTACAAATATCTGCACAGCAGATGAGGCATGTGCGCGAGGCTGGTGCACCAGGGCAGCAGGCTTACACGAGCGGGATGTCGCAGGAGCCGCAGCCGGGCAGCTGCGCGATGCCGCCGCCAGACGAGGAGAAGGCGTCGGTGCGGATCACCACAGAGGGGCCGAAGCCCGCAGAGCAGGCCTTGACGCGCAGCAGGCCGGTGACGTTGGCACTGTAAGAGTACCACTGCAGGGGGAGACGAGGGGGCACCATCCTGCCCAGGGTTGGCTCGCCAGCAACATCGGCAGGAGGGAAGGTTGGCAGGGCAGCGGACGTGGCGGTGCGAGCACCAACATAACCACCTGGCACCTGCCGCCACCCGGCGAGCAACTGGGACTGCCAGGGCGGGTACAGGGCAGCGCAGCTGGCGGCAGCTGGTGGCAGGCTCAGGCACGCAGGCACGCTCAAGCCGCTGCACAAGAGGACGCACCATGTCGGGGCCATCAGACCCAGTGGTGCAGCCGGCGGTGTAGGTGTTGGGCATGCCAGTGGTGATGCCAGCCTTGGTGTACTTGGGGTTAGAGCCGAGGTAGGTGGCGGCAAACTCGCCCGCGCCAGGCTTGAGGGTCTCCACCAGCAGGCGGAAGGGGCCCTGGTCGGTAGCCTCCTGGCCGGTGATCAGAATGAACAGCACCTGGCCCTGAGTTACGTCCAGGCTGCAGAAGGGGGAGGGGTGGCAGGCAGAAGGACGCCATTGGAGGCTAACCCTGGTGTTGCTTGAGTGCAGCTGGTGCAAGCTTGCTGCTAAGTGCCTGGTTCATTCTTGTGTACATGCTGCCATCGCGCTGGCTGCCAGCTGGCTGCATGATGCGCGCCCCGCCGGCCCCAGCTCACACAGTCTGGGAGGTGGGGTCGAGCAAATCGGGGTTGTCGGTGGAGCAGCTGTCAAAGTAGCCGCAGATAAGGTTGCCGTTCACGATGGGGGTGCCATCCTCCTCCACGCCGTTGCCCACAACAGTGAGGGTGGCCTGGAAGGCGTTGCTGCAGGCCTGGATGCTGACCACGCCGGTGAAGGGCACGGTGTACTTGTAGATCTGCAGGGGTGCATGGGAAGGGCGGGGATGGAAAAGACCGCAGTCAGGGGCAACGTATGCTGCTGTGATGCCGCTGGCGGCAAAGGGCCCAAAGCGTAACGGGCAACCTGTCCTTAAGGGCACTGCTTGTTACATCTGGCCAGGGCGAGCCAGAGCGCCTCAGGAACAAGCCTACACTCACGATGTCGGCGCCATCCCCGAAAGTCTTGTTGTTGAAGTCGGCCGGGTCAGCGCAGCCAGACAGGCGGGTGTCTGGGTAGCCCACAGTGCTGCCGTTGACCAGCTTCTTGGCGCCGACTAGCGGGATGGCATTGGACAGTCTGGTGCCGGGCCTGCGCATGTGGCGGGGGAGGCGGGCAGCGCCACAGTACTTCTTGAGGCACCACAACACGTGTGGGTGGATGGGGAGGCAGGGATGTGCATCGTGCAGTGGCTGGCAGGGCAGAGCGATGCCATGCATGCGTTGTGCTGGAATGTGGCGCGGCAGCTGCATGCTTCTGTTTTGCTGCAGCCAGCACTAACTTAAGCGGCGGCGGCGGCCGTGGCCTTGGGGGCCTCGGGCTGGGGGGCTTGGGAGGACGAGGTCGTGGAGGAGGGCGTGGACGAGGTGGTTTCGGCCTTGGCGGCGGTCTCGGGCGTGGCGGCTTGGGGGAGGGTGGCCGTGGACGAGGTGGCGGCCGTGGCGAACGGGCGCGTGGCGGCGGCGATTTCTTGGTTTGTTGCAGGCGGCGCCCCGCAGTGCCCCGGGCTGCAAATCCAGGGTAGAGTGGCAAGAGCAGGTCAGAGGGGCAGATAAAATCTGTTGGGTCGGGGAATGGTGCAGGGGCTGCTCACTGCTCATTGCTCATTGCTCATCGCACACTGCTCAACGCTCATTGCCCTATATCCCACCCAGCCGCAGGACTCCACTGCCGCCCGCGCCCCGCCCCATCTGGCCGCTTGCGCGCCCCATCCCCCCTCGATGGGGCCCGCCCACACCGGGGCCTCCCCCCTCCCGCCCACTGCTTTCTCAACGGCCCCGAGCCGGGGCTGCCCTCATTGCATACATAGTGCGCCTTTCCCTGCTTTTCTAGTGACCTAGCGTTCCGCACTGCCGTTTGGCCAGCCCATGCTCCCGTACCGTTGCGTTTCTCCCCAATGCGCCATGCCACTTTGCCAGTCATACACACGTTTCGATGCGTGCCCTGTCAGCTGCTTGCGTTGCATGTCGCCTTGCTCCACCCCTGTTTTATTGCTTTCTCTGCTTTCGCCCGGTTCCCGTCCCGTTTCGGCGGGGAGTCTATGTTGCAAGCTAGTTCTTGCTTTACCAGACTTTAAGCCCACACAAGCACAAGCAAGCATGCATGTTCAATCACCCGGACCAAGGTGTTCGCTGCACAACTGCTGCGGTCAGGGCGGATGCACCCCTGTGGCGCTTGGGGTCCCGAAAACACAGCCCCCCGTCCATTTCGCGCACCATCAGCGCCTTGGATGCTGGCCGCGAGGGCCGTGCAGGCCAGCAGCAGCACCAACTTCACGAACCCCATGCTGCCCAATCGAAGTCGACCCCCCGAGCCTCAGGGCTTCAATTGGGCGGGGATGGCGGGCCGCGGAGTATTATTCGGCTGCAGGGAGATCCCCACCCTCGGGGACCCCTGGCATATCCCCGTACCCTTCCAAAACGATCCAATGGGACCGAATAAAGGAATTTCGGCAATAAAACAGCCTCGCGCATCATCTCTCACGTCTCTCCAATCTTTGCTGTGGCAGACCGCCCCCCCCCCCCCCCTCCCCTCCCTGCCGGGCACAACCAGCCGCCATGCAGAAGTCCATCGCCATCATCCTCCTCGCCTCGCTGGCCATGGCCGGCCTGGTGCAGGCTGATCTGCCTCCCGGTGAGCACTCTGGCTCCAAACGGGCATTGCGGGGCTCGGGAGGACTGCCCCCATCGCCCTCCGCAGTGATGATGCTCGCAGTGCATGCACCCAGCCATCTGCGAGCGAACATAGGCGGTCCGCGAATTGCTCTGTCCTGACGGATCTGATGTCGCACGGCAGGGCTTTGAGTGTCCCAGAGCGCCGCTGCCCTGGGAAACCCGCCTGCCCCGCCCCTCTGCCGCCCCGCTACCATGATGAGTTCGAGCCATTATACATAGCCTATTATAGCCTATTATAGCCTATTATAGCCAACAGTAGCCCACCCGTCCGCTCACAGAGAGCCATCGCGCCGGCCTCGCGCCGATCACCCCCACACCCCCACCCTCCACACTCACCCACCCACCCATCAGCATGTCAAGCAGCGAGGGAGCCAGCCTTGGGCAGCGCAGCCAGCAGCCGATCAGCAACCCGGCCTCCCGGGCATCCCTGCGGCCCGATTTCCCCCATATCGTGGTCAAGGGGCTCGCTCTGGAGGCCGGTGGGGGCCTGGGGGCCGCAGTCGCAGCCTTCGTTTTGTTTTGCCGGGCCAGCCTTCACCTGCCAGTGCCTGACTGTGTGCCTGTGACCTGCGTTGAGATTCGGGTGCGTGGGGACGGGCGCAGCGAATGCCACCTGCGACTGACTCCTGCCCTGTGCGGCGCCCTGATGGGTGCCCGCCGCCGCCTTTCGTGGGCAGCACCAGAGGTCAGCATTGACCTCTGGCGCTCACCTGGGGAGCTACAATACCTCCATGAGCTGCGCCAGCAGCGCGCGGAGGAGCCCCCAGCGCGCCAGGTGGGGCGGGCTGCGACCTCTCGCTGGTGGCGAGCGGCTCCCCTCCCGCCGCCCTCAGCTGAAGTCGTTGCCGCCCCTGTTGCTGCTGCCCCTGCCCAGCCCACGCCTGCGCCACCTACACTGCCTGCCGCCGCCGCCGCCGCTGCCGCCGCCGCCGCTGCCGCCGCCGCCGCTG